TTTTTGCTCCAAAATTCACCTTTTTCTCCCCAAATTAATCTTTTTCTCCCCAAAATCCACTCTTTTTTAAAAAAATCGCAGCTTTTCCGCTCAAATTCCACCAATTTTCAAAATAAAATTCCACTTTTTTCCCTCCAAATCCGCTTTTTGTTCCCAAAATTTTCCCCTCCAAAATTCCCCTTTTCCCCCCAAAAAATAAAAGTTTTTCCAAAAATGCCACGTTTTTTCACCAAAAAATTCCTTTTTTACCCCAAAATTCCCTTTTTTTCCCCAAAAAAATTCCCTTTTTTTCCCCAAATTCCCTTTTTTCCCAAAATTCCATTTTTCTCCCCAAAAATTCCCTTTCTTTCCCCAAAAAATTCCTTTTTTTTGGGATTTTTAATGGAATTTTCACCATTTTGGGGGTATTTTGAGTAGAAGTTTTGCCATTTTTGCCATTTCCGGTATTTTTATTTATTTTAATTTATTCAGGCCACGCCTATGGGCGGAGCCTGCGCCGAAGCTCCGCCCCCATCCCGGATTTTGGGGGTTTTTAATGGGATTTTCACCATTTTTGGGGTATTTTATTGGAATTTTTACACTTTTTGAGTAGAATTTTCGCGATTTTTCACCATTTTTGTTCTTTTTCCATTTCCCGGTCACGCCCATGGGCGGAGCCATCGCCAAAGCTCCGCCCCCAACCACTCCAAGGCAGGATTTGAGGCAGATTTTTGGGGTTTTTAATGGGATTTTCACCATTTTTGAATACAATTTTCACAATTTTTTCCATTTTTGTGATTTTTTTTTTCCTGGTGACGCCCATGGGCGGAGCCGTCGCCAAAACTCCGCCCCCAGCAGCTCCGAAACCTCCATTTTTGGGTCAATTTTGGTGTTTTTAATGGGATTTTCACAGTTTTTGAGTACAATTTTTGCGATTTTTTACCAATTTTGTGAATTTTTTTCCCCTGGTCACGCCCATGGGCGGAGCCATCTCCGAAGCTCCGCCCCCAGCAGCTTTAGGGGGTATTTTTTTGGTGAATTTTTACCATTTTTGGGGTATTTTGAGTGGAATTTTCACCATTTTTAGTTTGTTTTTTATTTCCGGTCACGCCCATGGGCGGAGCCTGCGCCGAAGCTCCGCCCCCAGCAGCTCCGACCCCTCCATTTTTGGGTTAAATTTGGGGTTTTTAATGGGATTTTCACCATTTTTGTGTAGAATTTTCGCGATTTTTTGCCATTTTTTGTTTTTTCCATTTCCGGTCACGCCCATGGGCGGAGCCTGCGCTGAAGCTCCGCCCCCAGCAGCTTTAGGTGGGATTTTTTGGGTGAATTTTTACCATTTTTGGGGTATTTTGAGTAGAATTTTCACCATTTTTGTAAATATTTGAATTTTTTATTCCGGTCACGCCCATGGGTGGAGCCTGTGCTGAAGCTCCGCCCCCAGCAGCTCCGACCCCTCCATTTTTGGGTCAATTTTTGGGTTTTTTAATGGGATTTTCACCATTTTTGAGTACAATTTTCACAATTTTTAATTTTTTCATTTCCGGTCACGCCCATGGGCGGAGCCATCACTGAAGCTCCTCCCACAACCACTCCAAGGCAGGATTTGAGGCAAATTTTTGGGGTTTTTAATGGAATTTTTGGGGTATTTTGAGTGGAATTTCCACCATTTTTGTAAATATTTGAATTTTTTATTCCGGTCACGCCCATGGGCGGAGCCTGCGCCGAAGCTCCGCCCCCAGCAGCTCCCACACCTCCATTTTTGGGGTATTTTAATGGAATTTTCACCATTTTTGGGGTATTTTGAGTAGAATTTTTTCCATTTTTGGGTTTTTTTTCATTTCCGGTCACGCCCATGGGCGGAGCCTGTGCTGAAGCTCCGCCCCCACCCCGGATTTTTGGGATTTTTAATGGGATTTTAACCATTTTTGGGGTATTTTAATGGAATTTTCACAATTTTTTGGGGTATTTTGATGGAATTTTCACAATTTTTAAACTTTTTTTATTTTTAATTTCAGGCCATGCCCATGGGCGGAGCCATCATTGAAGCTCCGCCCCCACACCCAGATTTTGGGGTTTTAAATGGGATTTTCACCATTTTTGAGGTATTTTAATGGGATTCTCAACATTTTTTCGGTATTTTGATGGATTTTTCATAATTTTCGCAGTTTTTCAAATTTTTTTATTTAGGCCACGCCCATGGGCGGAGCCGCCTCCAAAGCTCCGCCCCCACACTCAGATTTTGGGGGTTTTTATGGGATTTTCACCATTTTTGGGGTATTTTGAGTGGAATTTTCACCATTTTTGTAAATATTTGAATTTTTTATTCCGGTCACGCCCATGGGCGGAGCCTGCGCTGAAGCTCCGCCCCCAGCAGCTCCCACACCTCCATTTTTGGGTTAATTTTGGTGTTTTTAATGGAATTTTTTGGGTATTTTGAGTACAATTTTTGTGATTTTCACCATTTTTGTTTTTTTTCCCTTTCCGGTCACGCCCATGGGCGGAGCCTGCACCGAAGCTCCGCCCCCCACCCCAATTTTTGGGGTTTTTAATGGGATTTTCACCATTTTTTGGGTATTTTATTGGCATTTTTACATTTTTTGAGTACAATTTTCACAATTTTTAATTTTTTCATTTCCGGTCACGCCCATGGGCGGAGCCTGCGCCGAAGCTCCGCCCCCAGCAGCTCCCACACCTCAATTTTTGGGTCAATTTTTGGGTTTTTT